TAGTATTTTGTCGTTTTCTGAAAAGATGCAAAAATTCTGAAGATGAAAGGAAGATACATCAATGATATCATCTGTTTCTTATTTCCTAGAATAAAACATCACATAATTAAGTACTAAAAATTATAGTTTATTAGAGATTTTGATCCTGTGTACACTTGTCCATAACCATCACCTTGTTCCACTTATTTTTTTAAAAATATATTTTATTGATTTTTTACAGAGAGGAAGGGAGAGGGATAGAGAGTTAGAAACATCGATCAGCTGCCTCCTGCACACCCCCTACTGGGGATGTGCCCGCAACCAAGGCACATGCCCTTGACCGGAATCGAACCTGGGACCTTTCGGTCCGCAGGCTGACGCTCTATCCACTGAGCCAAACCGGCCAGGGCTGTTCCACTTATTGATGCATTCATTGGTTGATTCTTGGATGTGCCCTGGCCTGGGATCCAACTGGAAACCCTGGTGCACCAGGAGGATGGTCTAACCATCCGAGCTACCTGGTCAGGGCCACACCTGGGGGTCCTTGTGACCCTCAGCACCTTTGGCTCCCCATCTGTTCATTTTAGCTTTGGCGCGGAGAGAAGGAAGGTCCCTCAGGAGGTCGAGGCCTTTTGCCACGTCGACCAATCTCTCCCCCCTCCTCCTCCATTTCTCTCCACATTCTCTCTTTTTACTCTCCACCGCCCCTCCCAATTCATGGTCATTTATTATGAAAAGTGGGATCATCTGGGTAATAGGAATTGAGGTCCTCTGGGCAGGAGGAGGGGTGGGGACAGGCTGTAGGCCTCCAACCAATATAGGAGGAGGGCATAGATCGTTGAACATTCTGACCTTTGGAAAAAGCGCCATTAAATACACATTTTATAATCATAATGTGAAAATATCCTTCTGGGCTTAAAATGTGTGATTTTGATTGATATTCATAGAGTAACCTTTTGGGTGTCACAATATTGAAAAATGAAAATATAAGAGTTTGTAACACAATTACTACGGAGTTAATACAGTGGGGCCTTGACTTACGAGCGTCCGACTAACGAGTTTTTTGAGATACCAGCTGTCTCTCGGCCTATTTTTTGCATTGAGTTGATAGAGTAATTTGAGTTAACGAGCTCGGTCTCAGAACGAATTAAACTCGTAAGTCAAGGCCCCACTGTAGCTGAGTACACCCTGTGCTTATAGAGTTTGTATTGACCAAAGGAGCTACTCAGGATCAATTTGATTATTTTTTTTTTGGGGGGGGTGTTGTTAATCCTCACCCAAGGATATTTTTTCCATTGATTTTCAGAGAGAGTGGAAGGGAGGGAGAGAGAGAGAGAGAGAGAGAAACATGGATGTGAGAGAGAGAGAGAGAAGACATAGATTAGTTTCCTCCCGTAAGCACCCCAACCCGGGACCAGGGATCCAGCCTGTAACCAGGTAGGTGCCCTTGACCGGAATCAAACCGGCCACCCTTACGTCCCAGGGCTGACGCTCTAACCCCTGAGCCAAACCGGCCAGGCCCAATGCGATGATTTAAGGCGCAGAGTCATGCATCTCGAAGTTTAAACTGCTTTGCGGAAACATGCAAACTCCCCCTGAGCATTTTGCAGCTCGAACAAAGCGACCGGAGATGAGCTGGCTGCTCCCCGGGGAGTTCCCAGAAGCAGGGGCATGCAATGGGGGGGCCTGCTTCCCTTTGAAACATTCCTCCACGAGGAACGCGTGTTCCCTGCCTGGCCCGTGGCTGCTCCCACCAGGGAGCAGCTCCACTGTCACCGCTGAGTGAGTGCCCGCCGCGTCAGGCCTTGTCAGCGCGAATGAACGTCTTGCGATGAGTATTCTGGACCTTCTCCCTAATGAACCTGCTAATCGGGAAATCTGTCTGTGCCCATAACTGTCTTCTCACTGCGACGCGTCCTGGAAGGGTTAGATGAGTGGGGAATGATATGATGGGGTTTTTTTGTGTGTGTGTTTTTTTTTTCTTGCATCCTGCCTTTCCAATGTAGTTTTGGACTCACTATTTATGGCTCTGAGGATGGAGACAGGGTCAACATTGACAGTGACAACCTTGGTTATAGGACTCCCACGTGCCGATAAGAACGACACAAAAACATGTGTCATCATAAGCAGGCATGTTCTCGGGAAGCATGCAAGCTTCTTGGAGGGCGTTGTGTGAGTAGAAAAAAAAAAATATGTCACGGCGTTTGTATCAGATCTTGCTGGAAATAAGTCACGTAGGGGATGTCAAAACGTGAAGAAAGTACTAATAGGAGGACAAAAAAAATCTTCTACAGCAGCAACATTTTTCCTGACCAACATTTCAGCCTCGCCTATATTCCCCAGGGTCTACAAGTGAGTAGAAGCTACCCGGATTTCCGGTCTCTTCCTGTTAGTCTTGATGGAGGAGGTACTCTTTCCAGCTCTGTCAGTAAAAGGCTCCTCATTCATCCCATTATTCCCAGGGGTCAGCCGACGGCGGTAAAGAATCTGATAGCACGTATTTTAGGGTGTGTCGAGCAGACGGTCTCTGATGCCACGACTCAACTCAAGAGCAGCCATAGGCACTTGGAACTTGATTGACAGACGCTGAATTTTGCATTTCATCGGATCCTCGTGTGTCATGGAATTTTATTTTTCTTTTGTCCTTTCCCCCCCCAACGACTTAAAAAAAGAAATCTGAACATATTCTTGGAACCTCTTCCAGGAAAAGTGGAGGGGGTGTCTGTGTCCCTCTTCCTTTCGCTAATGAAAAACCCCTGGGCATGATGTAGGAAGCAAATGTAAGGAGACTGGACGACAGAGAGAAGTAGCCCGGCCAACAGACCCAGGGCTCAAAAAAGAACCTGAAATAGAGGAGCCCCTCCCCTCCTCTCTCTCTCTTTCCCTCCCTCCTTTCTTTCTTTCTTTCTTTCTTTCTTTCTTTCTTTCTTTCTTTCTTTCTTTCTCTTTTTCTTTTTCTTTTTCTCTTTCTTTCTTTCTTTCTTTCTTTCTTTCTTTCTTTCTTTCTTTCTTTCTCTCTCTCTCTCTCTCTCATTCCCTCCCTCCCTCCCTCCCTTCCTCCCTTCCTTCCTTCCTTTCTTTTTCTCTTTCTGCTCCACATCCTACAGTGTCTCGGAAATAATCACCTCTCTGTTATTATTTATAAAGTACACTCACGAGAAAGGAGCTGTGGAAATGTCGATAGGCTGACCAATTGCACCCCCAAGTGGAAAAAAAAAGTTTACCCATAAACATTTAGGCTGTTGCTGCATTGCAGGCAGGCTTGCGATAGTCAAATGTGCTTTTGTCTAAAACGTTTTAATGGACCGATGTTTTGTGACCGGCACTAATGTATGTCTGTCGCTATTCGTTTCCTCTGGGCCCCGGAAAGTTGCTCTGAGTTTGAGTCTAGTATGTAAATATGACTTTAAATGTTGGGCAAGTAAAAGAGCTTCAAAGCTCTTTGAATTATTATTTTTTAACTGGAAGATAAAGTCAGATCACATGCACATGCACCTATTGAATATTTTCTGAAGGAATATCCCTGACGGTGTGTTTAATAAAGACATATTTCAGAGAGATCGCATCACTTTTCTCTGGTTTTGGCTCCCCTTCCTGCCCTCCCGGCTTGTATTATATTTATATGGACACTTCCCCGTGTCTTCTGTGCACACTAAGAAATTAAAGAATAATTTCAGGAGCAGCCGCGTTAGCTCTTTGACTCAAGAAAAATAAGGAAACGCCATCCACGTGGGTTCCTCGGACGCAGAGTTTGGGGACCGCTCCGTCGGTGGCTGCACACAGGGAGGTGCGATCCTTGGTGCTCCAGCGCCCCTGCCCATGGCCCCCCAGTTCCCATCCGTCCGGCCCGCTTCCCTTTCCCAACAAGGCTCCCTGCGGGGTTTTGAGGGGTTCAATCCCTGCAAGCCGCCAAATCCCCCCGAAAAGTCGGAGTCACGGATTCCGGTTGTTGCTAGGTTACCAGGGCGGGCCTGGAGGGCTTACGGAGCATGCGCACTGCCGGACTCGCCGGGCGGGTGGGGAGAGCTTACGGAGCATGCCAATTTACTCTACTTTTTTTTTCGGGCGGGGAAGGGCTTACGGAGAA